GAGGAATAGTTCTTCGGCATACCTTGCCCAAGTTTAGATCTATGGCTTTTAGATCCGTGGTTGAAGAAGAGATGGAAAAAGAGAGGTTCTATATCCTTTCCGTGTTTGATTTTTTTTTTTTTTAAATTTTCTGTTCAGGATACTTGTGGAAGTATTGGACACGTGTCCAGTTGTGTCCTACTCATATCCTTGTCGGACACATGTCCAACACCGCCACGTCGACTCCCGTCAGAGTATCCGTGCTTCCTAGGAATCAATATAATAGTTATACTCTCAACACTCCCCCTCATGTTGGAGTATATATAGTATATAGTCTTGCTTAAAACAAAACACTAAAAGAGACAATAAGTAGAAAAAAAAGTCATTGAATAATTTAAAGATTTTGTAATATTACTGACAGATAATAATTTAGTAGAGAAATTGGGGACATGAAGAACAGAAGAAAGAGATAAAGACGATGAGCAATTAATTTAACCTCTTCTAGAAATAGAAGATAAGGATCCATTAGCTATGTTAACTTTATCCTTACCAGAACATGTAGAATACGAAGAAAAAAGGCTAGAAGAACCTGTCATGTGATCCGTAGCTCCAAAATCTATTATTCAAGGAGAACATGAAGATGACGTAGTAAATGCACTAGCAGATATACCAGTGTGGGTAAAATTGGAAGAAGAGACAAGGGTAGAAGCTATAGTAGAGACATCAAGTTGAGTCATCAGATGTCTGAGAGTCTGCAGCTTATCCTGAAAAAAATTAGAAGGAGCAAACTGAGATGAAGCATCTGACGAGTCAATCATGTGTGCATGGGATCGCATAGTACCCCCTCGGCCACCACCTCGACCACGTGTAGGACTTCCAGTCAGCTTCCAACAAAACTCTCTAGTATGTCGGGTCTTCCCATAATAATCACACTTTAAGGTATCCTTAGAACCAATATCCCTCATCTCAATAGACTTGGTAAAGACTGAACCCAAGTCACGTTGAAGGATAATAGCTAAAGCAAACTGTTCCTAAAGAGGAACATAAATCATTGCAATTCTCCGACTCTCCTCTTGCTGAACATAGGCATAAGCTTTCCGTATAGTGGAAAATGGAGTACGATCCAAAATCTGAACTCGAATCTGATCATACTCAATATTGAGGCCCGCAAGAAAGTCATAAACTCGTTCTTTTTTACTGTCCACTAAAATTTGACTACATCATTAGTACAATCTGCCTGAAAACTCTAATGGTGGTCAAGCTCCTGCTATAAAGTGGTCAACTCTGCATAATAAATTGCAAGTGTCTTATCCTTCTTGTTAGTCTCCCAAACTTTCTTTCGCAGATCATATGTCTTAGTATCATTACCCTGTTGAGAATACGTATGAGAATCAACAGTCCAAATCTTATGTGCCATATCGAGTAGCAGAAAACCACGACTAATAGATGGTTGAATTGAATTGAGAAACCAAGACATAATCAAATCATTCTCAGATGTCCACTGCCTTAAGGAAGGATCAGACTCACTCAGTTTCTTAATCTCTCCAGTCAAGTACCCATCTAAAGATATCGCTTGGATCGATAATAAATATGCCCTCGACCATGCCAAGTAGTTTCTCCCATTCAATTTTTTTGGGCTAATTTGGAGAGAATAGTTTTTGCCAAAGCACCCAAACGACTCACTCCACTTCCTCCAATACTTCCCTCAACATTAGTAGATGTCGTGCTACTGTCGGACATGTTTACCCAAGAGAAGCCACACAAAATAACAAATACTCACTGAAAAACCTCTACCAAAGAAGTAGTTCACTACTGAAAAAAATCACAAATTGTACCAAAATGGAGTACGAAGATGGAGAGACAAACCAGAGGCGAAACAAGGCTCCCTGAATGTGTAAAAATGGACCCCACACCTGAACAATGTCGAATAGGGGTGCCAACAGTCCCAAAGGAGCAAAAAAATCACAAATCCAAGCAACACTCAACAAATCAGTTTAGGCATGGTATAATGTGTTGATTTGCACCCTTCTAAGGAGATTCGAACCAAAAAAAACATTGAATTAGCGCAGAATACACAAGTCGTAAGTTGAACTCCCAAAAAAGCGAAAATCCTTCAAAAAAACAAACAACTAACCAAACAAAATTCAGAAAAATCCACAAAAATAACCATAAATCTTAGAAGAAGATTTTGAGTCTCATGAAAATTTTTAAAAAAAATTGCAAAAAATGGTTGCTGACGTCGGCATGTCAGACCTGACAATCCGATGGCACTGTTGAAGCTCTTTGAATAATCTGATGACTTGAATCTTTGAGTTTTGATCGATAATCTAATATCAAGTTGAATTAATTTAAATTATTATGGAGTTAGGATTTTAGAGAATAAGAGGGAAGAAGAGAGAGAGAGATTAGAAAAAGTGTATCTTATATTAGGTTAAACAACTACACCAACATATATATAGTCATATAGTGCAAAATACTAAACTACCCTTCTTCTAATATTAATGCATAACTCAACATAATGATAAGTAGAAAAGGCACTAGACGAAGCAATTATGTTATCAGAAGCACTAAAGTCTATCATTCAGGGATTGTAGGTGGAGGATATTAAACAAATAGAAGTGGTATCTGATTGGGCAAAAGTAGCAGTGGAGGAAGATGGTACTGTTTGTTGTTGGGACATGAATTGAGCATACTTCCCTCATGTAATAATAACTAACTCAGAGTCGGGAGGGGCTAAACGTGATGATGGTGAGGGTAGGAATGAAGTATCGAAACACAAGATGGCTTGCCATGTAATCCTAACAATAATCAACTGTGTGCTTAGTACGACCACAATGAGTACATAAACGAGAACCAGTATGGTCTCCACGACCTCCACTACGTACTGAGAGTCACGACCACCACGGCTACTGCCACAATCTCCATGATTTCCATCTCCATCCTGAGTACTACCACTATGTTTGAGCAGTCAATAGAAGGACCATGATCAATGCCTGAAGTAGAATGGTTATCGAACAAAGTAGCACGTTGTAAGCGAGAAAAGACGTCTTGAAAAGATGCTGGGACAACCTAAGATATAGGCACGGATAGGTTCATACTTAGGCTTCAAATCGACAAGGAAGTAAACAACATTCAAATTCTTATGTTGTCACTGCATAAATGTCGCATCAATTGTGAACGGTTGTAAATTCTCAATTCCTCACAAATTCCCCTTACTCACGAGTAATAGTTTTTTAAGCTCAGAGTACCCTGCTCGAAGCAAAAATAGTGTTTGCATACTTCATAAGTGCAAGTAAAATTATCAGTTGCAGAACATTGCCAAATGATTCCATATTTCCTTGGCAGTATTTAGATAAAACAATGTAGAGGTGTTGTAACATTCAATGCTATTCAACAGTAGTGAAATAATTTGTGCATCCTCTTGTTCCCACTGATCGAATCAAGGTTCACTTTCCTTGGGTTTCTCTCCCACCAAATACTTTTTTAAGACCTTTTGTCTATAAGAAAAACTTAAATAGATTGGCACCATAAAACGTAATTGGTCTCATTACGCTTGACTGAATTCATGGGAGCATTAAGGACAGCCATGGAAAGTGTGGGTGACAAGATTGGGGCAAGAGGTGGATTATTAGTCTTGGGCTCCATAGTAGTACTACAGATTTTGAGACAATCCAAAGAAAAATAGCTCAAATAATGCAAAACAGTCACCTGAACAGTACAAAGTCAGTCAAAGACAAGAGAACCCGAGGCTAACAGCAGAGAAAACCATACTAGGTGCTTAAACCAACACAGATCTTGTTGAATAGAGGGCTAAACCAGTGTCAGCGTAAGCAAACTGGGTAGAAGGCCTCTTAACCGGTGGTAAAAAGCCTCTGAATCAGATGAAATCCTCAGTTGATAGCGGAACTGGATGGAAATCCTCGGTTGGTAGTAAAACCGGCTGGAAAACCATGGAATCAGAGTGAATCGGTGGTAAAAGCACCTGAACTGGACTGAATCGGATTGACCAGATAAACTGAATGGAATTGGTATGAACCATTGTTGGCTGGGCTGGGCTGGACTGGACTGGACTGGGCTGGGCTCACCTGGGCTAAGCTGTACAAAGTGGGCTTGAAGGTTGGAAGGCTTGAACCAGTGGTTTGGGCTAAGCTGAACAGGGATTGGATTGTGTTAATTAACTGAGCCCTTGACCCAGTTATGTTTTATAACCCCACCTAGATACCCTTCAAACTCTGCCTTCTTCACGTCGACGGGCTCAATAGAACTCTAGCTCCTAACAGCACCAACTCATCTAAAACCATAAACTGGTAACAGAGTATAACTTAAGTATTGTAATCTTTAACATGATTCCTCACGTGCGGGGCTTATTTAGGGCAAAAGCACATAAGAACTACAATCCTTTATTTTTTTTTTTGTTGGGGGGTGGACGAGATTCAACGCAATACCTCCTGCTACGATACTATGTGAGACCACCAACCCAAAAGCTTACATTTTTAGAGTAGATTGTGGTTCAACAATTATTTTTGAACTATCCATGGGCATCACATCGGAGAGAGAAAATTATGCTTAGACGTCTAAATATAGGAGTAGAAGCATGGAAAATGAGTTTATGTCATCCGTAGAGTACATTGTGAACATCCTTGGATGAAGAGAATGTGTGTGCGAGAGGATATATATATATATAATTGGTTGGAAGTTTCACTTTTGTCTTTTTTTTCCCCCTTGCTTGACTTACCGTACATAGATTTTATGAAGGCCTAAATGAGGGCAGTAATGAGTTAAAGGATCACCAAAGCACCAGTCCTAGCCTTCCCTGTCTAGTTACCTTAAGTGGTAAATAGCCATTTGTGCAAAATTCCCTGACTAGTTACCTTAAGTGGTAAATAGCCATATATGTTTCACTGGTAAAATATGCTATAACTGCCTTCTGTTCAATTTATTTATTGGATTTCATAAAAAATCAGGCGCTACATAACTGTGATTCTTGTTTATGGAATTTGACTATTGACATGCCTGCAATAATGCGTCTCTTCCAGACTGGAGGTTCACATTTAGGGACAGAATTCAATCAAGGTGGAAGCTCTATGCAACCAGATAGAGGATCTTCTTGGATGCCTGGTCTTCCAGAGAATATGGCTGGAACACAGCTTCCAGGAGCACCATTAGTCCCTAGTCAAATGGGCCCAGGCAATCAGCCTCCTCGACCTCCTTCGGTAGTCAATCTACAATTAATTTCTATGCTAGATATAAAGGTTTCATTTGTGCAAGTTCACAGTTTCAGATTTACTTAAATATTATTTGATGATTTTGCAGTTAACCCCTGAGATGGAAAAAGCACTACTTCAGCAGGTCATGAGCCTAACACCAGAACAAATTAATCTCCTGCCTCCAGAGCAAAGGAATCAAGTGCTTCAGCTGCAGCAGATGCTACGTCAGTGAATTGCCAATGTCAATTCTTTTTGTGGAGGAAGTGATGCATTCACATCTCTCTTTTGCCACCATTGCGGCAGAGGTTGAAAAGCATCTCTTGATATATCATTAGGCTATTTATCGGGTTTAGTTAAGAAGTATTTTACAAATTTGACGCTGCTACTCAACATCTTTATTTTATGTTCTTTTTTTCTTTGGGGGTGGAGGGGGCGTGTTTGTTGGTAATCCCTGTACATTAATCTCTGTTCTGCATATTTTCAGTAGATACTCGTGTATTGCTCTCTCTCTCTCTCTCTCTCTCTCTCTCTCTCTCTCTCTCTCTCTCGGTGCACCCTCCCTTGTTATCAGTATATAAAAGTAAAATCTAAATGCAGAATCTATTCTGCCATACACGCTGTGCAATAATTTACCATATGGAATAGGAGAAATGAAAGGACCAAGTGCATGACATTTGCACCCGATTCATTCGAAAGGGTGATTAATCTACTGTTAATTAGTGGCATGAGCAATTTCCATTCAAACATCTCCCCAAAATCGGTAATCTACTGTTAATCCTTACAATTCTTTGCAGCAAATTCTGCCTAAGAAATTATAATGGAGTTTTGGATTCTTCAATTTATTTACAAGAATCCAGCTAAAACTTTTGGACAAGTGAAAATCTGGTCACTCGGCTACTTCAAGACAAATCAGAGACATCCGGCTGGTCAAAGGAAAAAGCGGAACACCAAGATAAAAATGCTGTGGAAGTTGTATTCCACTTAATTATAACCACGACAAAAACTAGTTATACTGGCTTTGAATGCTTTTTACATCATTGAGCATACATTTCTCAACTTAGGAAAGAGCTATAACCCAACGTCCCTTCTTTTTCAATTCCTCCAATTGACAGAAGAAACTTTGGAGACCAACTGATTGTTGCCAACGTCTTGATTCCTTTATTTCTTTTCTTCTCTTTTTTGTTCTCCCAAGGAAGAGAGCAGCCGCGGGGGTTGTGATTTGAAGGATAAAGACAGCTGGTACCATTGAAAAAGAATATACCACTGCACCCGGATGATTTTTGCTAGATGAATAGCAACCATGCAACATATAGGTTCAAATACTGCTCCTTCATCTGAACAAACTGGAATTCAAATTCCAACAAGGGAGCACTGGTGAGGCAACACTTTCCAGCTCCAACTTAAGGAATAACACTCAACCATGCTCTGATACGAGTAGATGACATCCATCAACCTGCTTGGAATAAGGAAACACTATTAAAAAGAATAATTGCTGCAGTTAAAATTGCAGCTGCATTTTTGAAAATAAAAATTGTTGCTTCCGTCAATTCTGGTCTAAAGCAATCTCAAGTAAAACAAATTTGAGGTATCGAACTCCACTGAATACATTTCTCAAATAAGTGAAGCATATCCATACCAGAACATAAACCTGTCATATTCTCATTAAATGCATAACACAAATATATTGGAACTTCTAGGCATATGTGAAGAGTGCTTGTATCTTCATCATGGTATTTTTGTCTCGATTCGGTTATAGTGAACCCACGTGAAAGCCAGGGTTCCATGTGAGGAACCGAGAAAGGGTATGAAAAGAGCTTTTATCCCATGTTGAAAGGCCAGGAGCGCCCAAAGTTGGTTTACATGGTTGAGTGGCCTACTGACCTCTCCGCCCATAAATTGATTTTCAATCGGATACTACTAACAGAGCCCACCAAAAGGGCTTAACAATTTAGAGTCCATTTGGTGTCTAATCTCTACATCTTCCCTAAACTGGGGATATGAGTTCTATACATAAGCATATAGTATGCAGATGCATAAGTATAGTAAATAAATAAAGTTAACAATTCCAATAATAAAGGATAGTAAATTAAGGGGAATGAAACTTCGCACCTGAAAAGATTTAAGAATTTTTATTTTGTACCCTCATAAATTAGATTTTTTGTATTGCATGCTCAATGTATTAGAGCTTGTCAAGTAGAAAGCAAAAGCGCACTATGGTGTGAGATTTCGTAAAGAAATTTGCCAACTGTATAATGGAAGAAAGAAAAGAGAGAGAGATAGTGACAGCTGGAGATGATGTTGCATAAAGTGACAGTCAATCTCAATATGCTTTGTACAATCATGGAAGACTGAGTTATGAGTAATCTGAATAGTACTAGTGTTGTCACAATGCATATGGGTAGAAGCACATGAAGAGATGCCAAGATCAACAAGCAGTCATCGTTACCAAATAACTCAAGGCTCGTAACCAAGGGCTAGCAACCAGCAAAAAAGCCAAATAAATCAAGGCTCACAAGAAGACAACAACTCAAACCATAATATAAGCATTCAGCAAGTAGTGAGCCAACAAAACAAATCAAATCCGCCAAATCCCAGTAGCTTCACAAAAAACAGGACAAAGATAAATAAACTCAACAAAACTCCAAGTGTAGGCTCAACAAATTAAGGCTCAAATAGCAATGAGGAATCCAACAGAAAATCAAATTCCAACAAAAACCACCAGCAACAAAGCCCAACAAAACAAAGTCCAACAAAGAAAACAAGAAAATTCAAACCAGCAGCCCAACAAAGAGAGATTCAAATCAATACCAGCCCAAATCAACAAACCCAAAAGATTGGGGTTTCTTTCCTAGAGCGCCAAGGGGAAGAAGACAAGCTGAGCCTAATTTCTGCAAATCAGCAAAACAACATACGAAAAACCAAAGGAGAAGTGACAAACCAGTTGCTACAGTGTTTGCCGAAGGAGGAAATCAGCCAAAAATCCCATTCCTGACACCAGCAGTAAGATGAACTGAGACTCACAGTAAGAGACCAACCAATTTTGCATCAAAAATCAGTTCAAAATGCTTCAAACTNACATAAACCTGTCATATTCTCATTAAATGCATAACACAAATATATTGGAACTTCTAGGCATATGTGAAGAGTGCTTGTATCTTCATCATGGTATTTTTGTCTCGATTCGGTTATAGTGAACCCACGTGAAAGCCAGGGTTCCATGTGAGGAACCGAGAAAGGGTATGAAAAGAGCTTTTATCCCATGTTGAAAGGCCAGGAGCGCCCAAAGTTGGTTTACATGGTTGAGTGGCCTACTGACCTCTCCGCCCATAAATTGATTTTCAATCGGATACTACTAACAGAGCCCACCAAAAGGGCTTAACAATTTAGAGTCCATTTGGTGTCTAATCTCTACATCTTCCCTAAACTGGGGATATGAGTTCTATACATAAGCATATAGTATGCAGATGCATAAGTATAGTAAATAAATAAAGTTAACAATTCCAATAATAAAGGATAGTAAATTAAGGGGAATGAAACTTCGCACCTGAAAAGATTTAAGAATTTTTATTTTGTACCCTCATAAATTAGATTTTTTGTATTGCATGCTCAATGTATTAGAGCTTGTCAAGTAGAAAGCAAAAGCGCACTATGGTGTGAGATTTCGTAAAGAAATTTGCCAACTGTATAATGGAAGAAAGAAAAGAGAGAGAGATAGTGACAGCTGGAGATGATGTTGCATAAAGTGACAGTCAATCTCAATATGCTTTGTACAATCATGGAAGACTGAGTTATGAGTAATCTGAATAGTACTAGTGTTGTCACAATGCATATGGGTAGAAGCACATGAAGAGATGCCAAGATCAACAAGCAGTCATCGTTACCAAATAACTCAAGGCTCGTAACCAAGGGCTAGCAACCAGCAAAAAAGCCAAATAAATCAAGGCTCACAAGAAGACAACAACTCAAACCATAATATAAGCATTCAGCAAGTAGTGAGCCAACAAAACAAATCAAATCCGCCAAATCCCAGTAGCTTCACAAAAAACAGGACAAAGATAAATAAACTCAACAAAACTCCAAGTGTAGGCTCAACAAATTAAGGCTCAAATAGCAATGAGGAATCCAACAGAAAATCAAATTCCAACAAAAACCACCAGCAACAAAGCCCAACAAAACAAAGTCCAACAAAGAAAACAAGAAAATTCAAACCAGCAGCCCAACAAAGAGAGATTCAAATCAATACCAGCCCAAATCAACAAACCCAAAAGATTGGGGTTTCTTTCCTAGAGCGCCAAGGGGAAGAAGACAAGCTGAGCCTAATTTCTGCAAATCAGCAAAACAACATACGAAAAACCAAAGGAGAAGTGACAAACCAGTTGCTACAGTGTTTGCCGAAGGAGGAAATCAGCCAAAAATCCCATTCCTGACACCAGCAGTAAGATGAACTGAGACTCACAGTAAGAGACCAACCAATTTTGCATCAAAAATCAGTTCAAAATGCTTCAAACTATCCAATCGAACACCAAGGAGGCAAATTCGCACCACATAAGGAATTTGGAGCAAAAAATTTAATCAATACTTGAAAAAATTCGAGATCGAAGTTTTTGGCCCATTTTCTTAATAAATCTTTGAAAAATCAGAAACCCAATTAGACGGACACCAAATCAAAACAAAATCACACCATGTTGAAGCCCACAAGCAGTCGATCAGATGGTGTGTCTTGCAACCTCTGGGTGCTGACATCATCATCTACATTGATGACATTAGCCCTAGTTCAAATTCTAAATTTCCTCCCGATGAACCTGATATGTTGTTGATTGTGTTTGGGTCGAAACCCGCTCTGATACCATGTAAACTTTGATAAAAGCAAAGAGGAAAAGAAAAGAGACATAGTCTGTCGATTACACAATAGAAGTCTTATATGTGCTAGGGCAACATAAAATAAATCAAGTGACTAAACTACCCTTAATTCTAACACTAAATAACTAAATATACTCTTAACACATTGTACTTCCTGATGAAATTTTTTTAAGGATTAACTTTCTACATAGGCAACTTTAAAATTGCACGACTACAGACTATAGAAAAAAGAAGTGTATGGCATTTGTCCTGTTTCTTGATCAAGTAATGTAATTCTTTAATTCTTTTATTTGTTGTTTTGAGAACAAAATGCTAGCCCTCAACAATGCTGGAAGACCTTATATAGGAAAGCCATGCCCATTTTAGCAGCTAAATCCTAAACTATGGAGCTCCCATTTAAGACAGGCTGGAGGCTTTCCTAAAGGATCAGTAATCTAAGTTGGCCACCGTTAAGCGAGCATGTTCGGAAGAGTGGACTGGGTACAAAACTATTATTCAAAATTATTTGCATGAAATGCTTGCCTCAGATTTGAATCCACAACCATGAGGTTGGTAGCCCGACTCTTTTACCATTGCACCAAACAAGAGCTCCTAAAAGTGAGAAGGGGCATTCAGTACAATGATACAATCCTAATCTTTAG